CAGCCCCTTGTGGAAAGTACTTCTTAGAGAAGGTGGGGAAAAATGGCAGAATAATAAAGGTTGGTAAAAACATCATTGGAAGTATGATGCTTTTCATTTACTTTGATAAGTAACTTTTCTCTGTAGCTTTCCCTCTGGAGCCCATCTCCCTGCCCACACACAGTAGCTCATCTTTTCCTTTCAGTAACTTTTCTCTGACAGTCGAGCCACTTTCAAATATAACTTTCCAGTACAAGAGTTAGTTTGGAAGTTGCAAGGGACCTAGTAGCCACTGGCATTTTCTGAAACAATAAGTTAGTGAAGATAAGTAGCTTTAAATGTGTTTTTTTTTCAAGAGAATTAAGCCACATTCATCTAAGATGACCTTTTGGACCACTTTAAATTTTGTTTTTTGTTGGAACAGCTCTCACTCTCCTTTTCAAAGACTGAAACATCACAGCATCTAGAATATCAGTGAACAGTTGCTGATGGTAGCTTAAAACCTGAGAGTTGTCAGGGAGAACTTATTGTAACAAAGCTCAACCAAAACTTCAGGCTTTACCTGGGGGGCTACTGAATGTTTTAAATGTGTATTTCATTCAAATATTGATTTTTTTAAAACTTGCATGCACCCTCTTTCTCTCTCTCTGGGAGTTCAGCCTTCCATCACTCCCTTTACCAATCTACCCCTTCCCAACACCCCAGATTGCTCTATCAAATGTCCACAGACATGAGTGCTGGAAGTGGCAATGTGTATGCAGAAGAGAAAGCTGAGGTGTGTGCCTGAAAGCACTCCTTTTCCCTTTCAGTTTATTTCTTATTAAATGAAGATGTATAATGGGACAAACCTGGAAATCAACAGTGCTGAAAGGGACCAAGGAGTCTTAACTACCTGGCACTGAGTTTGCAAATGCGGGGCTGGGTTGCATCCATAGCACCATCTATCGGTGGTATCCAACCAGTTCTAGTAAACTAGCCACATTCAACCAGCCAAATATCTACATGTGGCTAGTGGCTGGTGTGTTGGACACCACAGACTATATAATACAACAGGAAACTATTCTCTGTTTGGCGCTGTGGTGGGGGAACTTTTCTTGAATATTGTGTCACACTCTGAGCAAGGTTCTCTTTAAGCTGCATGGCCCTGGAGCTGTTTAATGAGTGCAACCCAGAGGCTCAGGGTTGTTGCACATGGAGCTGCCTGGCTGGGGGAGGGGCACTTCTCCTTCAGCTACAGCAGCAGCTCCCTGAGAGATACTCACTGCGGGAGACAAAGCTGTAACTGAGGGAGAATTGCCCCTCTCCCAGCCAGGCAACTCCATTCCTGGCAGCCCTGAGCCCCTGGGCAGAGCTCATTAAGCACCTGCAGGGCCGTGCTGCCATGCAGCTTAGAGGGAATCTGGACTCTGAGCTCTGTGTTATTTATTTATGGTCCTTCAATGGCCCCCTTTATCATAGCATCTGAGGCTATGTCTAAACAGCATGTTATTCAGGAATAATGCTATTCTGAAATAACATAGTCCGTGTCTACTTTACAAGCAGTTATTATGACATAATGTCAAAATAATGTCGAGCTGGAGGACTTTTTACTCTGACTCCGGTAACCCTCAGGCTACGTCTACATTGGCATGATTTTCCGAAAATGCTTTTAACAGAAAAGTTTTCCGTTAAAAGCATTTTCAGAATAGCACGTCTAGATTGGCACTTTGCAGAAAAGTGTCTATGGCCAATCTAGATGCGGTTTTCCACAAAAAAGCCCCGATCGCCATTTTAGTGATTGGAGCTTTTTTGCAGAAAACAGTAATGTGCTGTTTACACTGGCCCTCTTGCGCAAATGATTTGTGCAAAAGGGACTTTTGCCCGAATGGGAGCAGTACAGTATTTCAGCAAGAACACTGATGATCTTACATGAGATTGTCAGTGTTCTTGCGGAAATTCAAGCGGCCAGTGTATAAAGCTGGCAAGTTTTTCTGCAAAGTCATCTGATTTTGTGGAAAAACTTGCCAGTCTAGACACAGCCTCATTGTACGAAGAGTAAGGGAAGTCAGAGGAAGAGTTCTTTTTCTCCAATTTCCTGCTGTGTAGACAGCAGCAAAAGCCAAAATAAGCTATTTTGACTTAAGCTATGCAATTCACATAGCTCAAGTTGTGTAGCTTATTTCGACTTTAGCCCTGCTGTGTAGACATGCCCTGAGTACTTCCCAATCTTTATTGTATTCACCCTGTGCTGCTATTCTCCTTTTATAGGTGGAGAACTGAAGCACAAAATGAGATTAATGTTTTGCCTGACAGCAATGTCCGTCATGTAGCAAGGAATTGACCCTGGCTCCTCTGAGTCCAGACTAACTCTTGAATCATTGGCCATCTTTTCCGTCCATTACCTGTAATATGTAGGTACACCAGAAAATGCATATAAGGCCTGCCAGACATTTGATGTAACACTGTGAGGGTATGTCTACACTACCCCGCTAGTTCGAACTAGCGGGGTAGTGTAGACATACCCCCAGTGGGATTCTGGCCACCGGGCTACCGTCGCCACCCTCTCAAAGGTGGCGAGGTATGCCTCAGGATCGTCAGCCGGCCCCATCTTAGTTAGCCGTATGGGCAGGCGTACCACCTCCCCCTCTCCTGCTGGCCCCTCCTCTTCGGGGCACGCTGGACTCAGGGGGGTCACCATTGCCGGTGGATATCGTCTCATCCACTCTTCCTGTTGCGCCTTCATTTGCTCGGCTACCTCCCGGATCAGTTGTTTTTGCTGCTCTTGTTGCTGGGTGGTGAGCTGCTGGATTAAGGCTGACTGCTGCTGTTGGTTTTGCCTTTGGGTCTCCTTAACCCACTCCATGAATTGCGCCGGATCCATGGCGTGTCCCGGTGCAGTTCTCACTCCCCTTTTTCCGAAAAACACCACAAAACACCCCCCTGTTAGTGCTCCCTAAGCCTTCTCACACCCCCTTTCCTTTCCTGGGGGGGGGCTGGGTTCGTGAGTAGGGACATACCCTGAGGTTTCTTTGTATGTCTACACAGCAAAGTTATTTAGAAATAACAGCCGTTATTTCGAAATAACTTTACTAGCATCTACACAGCCAAACCGCTATTTTGACATTAATTTGAAATAGCGGAGTACTTATTTTGAATTTGGTAAACCTCATTCTAAGAGGAATAACGCCAAATTCGAAATAGCTATTTCTAAATAAGTGCTGTGTAGAGTCTTATATAGAAACAGGGGGCCTCCAGCCTTCCCAAGATGCCCTGGTGTCCACTCCAGCCTCAACCACTTCTCTCTGTCCCTCCACTCCGGAGCCCTTAAAGGGGTTGACTCTGGCCACAGTGCCCGTGCCAGTTCAGCATAATGGTCCCTTCTGACCTTAAAGTCTATGAGTCTATGAGTAAGACTGCCAGCCCAGAGCCAGCAGTCACTGCCCTGACCCAGTGGCCCCAAAACATGAGCCACCAAGCCACTGGCAGCCAGCCCTCCACCACTCCCCAGGAGCAGTCAGCCAGCTCCCAGGAGCCTGACAGGTCCCAGAGAAGGTGTACGCCTTCTAGGTCTAGGGTGGAGATCATGGACCTTATTCAGGTTTGGAGGGGATTCCTCCAACATCTGTGATCGCTGCACTAGACGGAGGATAGCTGCCATCCTGGCCACTAAAGGCCACATGTGAACCCAGGAGCAGGTTTGCATGAAAATCAAGTTGGTCCGGTGAGACCCCCCAACCCTGAGCCCTGATCTTCCCCTCCCCCTTCTTCCCTTTGCTTCCCCCTTCCACCTCCCTCCTCTCCTCTCCTCTCCTCTCCTCTCCTCTCCTCTCCCACCTCCTTTCCCCAGTCTCACCAGAATTTCATTCCCCGCCCCCAGTTTTGTTAACTAAAGAGAGTTTGTGTTCATGAAATACATGTATTTTATTTTACATAAGGAAGGGGGGTTAGGGAGGGGTAAGTGGAAGGACATGAGGGAGGGATGAGGCACAAGCCCCCAGTGGGGCAGACCAGGGAGACTCTTCATGCTCCTCAGGATGGAAGCTCTCCGACAGGGCCTCCTAGATACTGACAGCCCCCCAATGGACCTCCCGGGTGGCAGCCTGCAAAAAGTGCAGCCAGGCTCACAGTAACACATCCACGAGAAGCACCAGAGTGTCCAAGGGCAACTTTGGCTCCACGTTGCAGAGTGCTGTGGTGTCCCGAGTCAGGGCAACCAGAGCACTCAGAGACAAAATGCTTTGCTGTCCCTCATCGAGGTAGGCAAGCAAGCAGGGAAACCTTAGAACTGGCTGTCCAGGGGCAGTCTCTTTAAGCACAAGTGTCAGATAGCCTCAGGCAGCAGCCACACAAAGGAACTCCTGACCTGATATCCTGCCGGACCTGGTTAAGGCCAGCCCTAAATGCGATTCAGCATCCACTCAGTGTGGAGGCGCTATTTTGAAATAGCAAAAAGCTATTTTAAAATGCATTTTGTGTGTAGACGAGTTATTTCGAAATAGCTTATTTTGAAATAGCTCAGTGTGTAGATACGTTATTTCAAAATAGCTTATTATTCACAGCTCAGTGAAAGATACCACTGAAATTGACCTTATTTCAAAATAACACTATAGTGTAGACATACCGTTTGATAGGAAGGGAAGCAGTGCTGCTGTGTGAGCTGATGGGTTTTTTTCACTCACTAAAGTGCCTGGATTTCTGTGCTGCATATGAAAGATACAACAGCAGTAAAAGTGGAGAGTTCCACTTCATTGTTCATCACTGGGAGATGGTGGAAAGGAGCATGCTAGGGCCAGGTCGCTCCACTTCTCATAGCTCCCAGCACTGCTGGTGGGTGCGGGGGATGGGTCTGGCCCCTACTGGCCCCAGTAATCCTGCAGGATACCCTGGCCCCATGAGGCTGCCCCAGACCACCCAATGCATGGGATGGCTCTGGATTCACCCAGCCTGGCTAACCCCCGATCCCATGGTTACTGCTGCTGCTGGCATCATCACAATGGGCATCATCACAAAGGAGGAAGTGGACCCACAGATAATGAAAGCTCAGAAGTTGAAGTGTGGCTGGAGATATACTACTATGACTGTTGCCAAGGTAGTGGGATTTTCTGCATCCTTAGGCAAGAGGGATTAACAAAGCCATGGCTGGAATGATCTATTTGGGTTAGTCCTGCTTTGAGCAAGGGGTAAACTAGATGAACTTCTGAGTTCTCTTTCAACTCTAACCTTCTATGAGGGCTGCAGCTCAGTGAAAGATAGCACTGAAATTGACCTTCTGGCCATCTGCAAGGCAGAACCCCCATCCCCACAGGGAAGACAGTGACCTCACAGACC